GGAGAAGGCGAGACTGGGATCGACGCCGCCGAGCTGCCACAACAAGTGCAACCAGTGCCACCCGTGCATGGCGGTCCAGGTGCCCACCATGCCGGGCCACGAACGCGTCGAACCGGGCCGAGAAAAGCTGGCCGACTATTTCGACGCCCCGCCGGCGCCGCCGTCCTCCGCCGGGAACAGGTACTCCAATTATAAGCCGCTCGGGTGGAAATGCAGATGCGGTGGCCATTTTTACAACCCCTGAAAATTTCAAAGTCAATTGTGTGTAACCATTAATTGGCATCAAATTTTTATTTTCCTTCCTTTTGTTTTTATTTAGAGAGATTTGAATAAAAATTAGGGGTGTCGGTATTTATTTATTTATTTTTTGTAGGGTCTGGGAATTACATTATTTATTTATGGGTTTAATTAGAAAGACAAAATGTGTGATCAATTTGTATTTATATAATTGGTGAGTAGATCTAAAAAATAATATTTTTGTGTACCTATAGCTGTTTCTCTCTTTTGTAATATAAGTTCCAATTTTGAACAATTACTAGTACAACACTCGTGTATTAAATGGTGCTTGGTAAAAAATATTCTTAAATTTTAAAATTAATGAGAAAAATTATTTTATGTTTTATTTAATTTTTATATATTATTATATATTTTAGAATGACACTTGTTATTTGTGCGACTTATATGTGTTATATTATACTCCCTTCTATTTTTTTAAATGTCATTTTAGCTTTATCAACTATTTGCTAAATAAATGTCATTTTGGATCTTTTGTACATATTTTTCCATTATTACCCTCATTTAGCTAATAAATACATTACGTTTTCATATTTACTTTTCTTTTTTTCTCAAAACATTCATCTCTATCTTCATTAAATAAGATTATTATTGACAAAAAAAAATATTCTTAATTAATGCGTAACTTCTCAAAACGACATTTATTAAAAATAGGAGGTAGTAGTATTTTTTATAAATTGTATCATATAACTACTTGGACTATTAATTGATAAATAACTTATTTTTCTAATATTAAAAATATTTTATTATTGTTATAAAGATAAATATATTTTTTTATACATGCAATATGAATGTTAAATCGAAGTTCATCAAGGGATGAATAATTTGACATATTATAAATGTAAAATTGATGGAAATTACAAAAGATATTAACTTTTATAATCCATTTACAATTGAATGGTTATAATAAGAAATTATATTAAGGGGGAGCCAACGGTTGGTTCTATAGTGGAGGCAATCGTCTATATACAAGAAGTAAATCATACCATATTAATAAAATTATATTAGTGTTATATAAGTAATCAGAGAATATTGTAGGTTTACTTGCTATATATAGAAGGTTCGCCTCACTATGGAGCCATCTGTTGGCTTTCACAGCAAAAACCGTGATAACTAATATTATGACTCCAAATTAATTTTAGTTATGTTTGGAAAATTCAATTTAAACTAGTTGATAAATAGCCTATGAATATGTTTTGTAATACCATAAATCAATTTATGATATTTAATTAGTTCTAAAAGTTTTTGCATTTAAATAAGGTTGGGTTGATAAGATAATTTTTAAAAGAACAACTCAAGCTTCTTATAAGTTTTTTTTTTCTATCTTAAAGTCAATTAAATATTTTATTTCATCCAATTTTTATCAACTAATTTGTAATAATATTGAGCACCTAAATTTCCCTCGAATGAAGCTGGTCAAAGCCGCCGGAAAATTCAGGATAGTCAGAAAAAAAAAAATAATAATAATAATAAGTAAAAACATTCAAAAAAGAAACTACAAATAAATTGGAGATTTAATTATTTTTACTTATGTAGTTCTAATTTTAATTTAAAAAAAAAAAATGTGGTGTCGTTTTGTTGTAATTAACTGTACTTCAAATAATTTGTGTGCAAATTTATAGACGTCAAAACCTATACTGACTACTACTGAGGTAAAGAAGAAGCTGGTACTGTACTGAATTTGGTAGTTGTTAAAATTTACTGCAATAAATAAAAAGAATTGACTGTGTGAAGTAATTAAATGAAGGAAAAATAAATAAATAAAATGAATTTTTTTATATTAATTAATGTTTGAATTGACAGAAGTAGACTTTATGATATTTTTTATTATAATAATTCATTTATTTATGTTGTCCTTTCTTATCATCTCGGGATTTTCACGTGTCCTATATGCTTGTCAATTTTTGGCTATTGGTATCAATTTCTGATCAAGTTTTGAGTTGCTATATATAGACACGGGCCAAGGACCGACTCGGCCCGTCCTCCCCGCATCGAACGCGCCCTGGACTGGTCCTGGTCCGACCCGCAACCGACCCGAATTATGTCGGTTCAATGAACCGGAACCATGGCTATGCGAGTAGGTTCCGATTCTTTAATTTTAATTTTTTTTTTTTACTATTGGTAACAATTTCTGATCGGTTTTCAATTGCTATATATAGGTGTGGATTTTTGTGTTTTTAATGTATGAATTGAAATGTATATTGTGAGTGATCATTTTTTTTTTTTTTTTAATTATGATGTCTTGGTGATTATGAAAGGTAATTATATATTAATCCTTTTTTATTTTATTTTTTGGTAGATTTTTGTTTGTTAAGTAATTTATTCATTATTATACAATTTGTTAAACATGCATTATCATATTTTGTATTTGTCTGTTATTATATTTACATCACACCATCTTTAGTTGATAAATATAATTTTAAAAAATGTTACGTCAAAGAGATAGATTAGTTTGAAGATGAATGCAAAATAAAATTAGACGATTTAATTTAATTTAATATAAATAATAAAATATTAATTAATAGGGTGTTGATAATCAAAAGTATACAAATAGACGCATCTGTATAAGTATATTTAAAATATATAATATCAATTTTTATGTAATATCAGAACGATAAATTATTGATTGATCAAATTTATAATTAAAATTACATAAATAATAAATAATACTCTTAATAAAAAATTAAATAATAATGCTCAACTAGTACAATACCCGTGTATTACACGGGTGCGTGTTAAAAAATTATTATTAAATTTTAAAATTAATGAGAAAATTATATTAAATTTAGTTTACTTTTTTACAAAAAAAAAAAAAATATATTACTATATATTTTAGAATGATATGTGTTACTTATGACTTACATGTGTTATATTATATTAGTTTTTATAACTTATATCATATAACTACTTGAAATATAAATATATTAGTTGATAAATAATTTTATTTTTCTAATTAATATTAAAAATAATTTTATTATTGTTATAAAGATAAATATAAATTATTTTTTTTATACATACAATATAGATGTTGAATCGAAACTTATCAAAAGAAGATTAATTTGATATATTACATATGTAAAACTGATAAAAAATACAAAAGTTATTAACTTTTAAAATATATATACAATTCAATAGTTATAATAAGGAATGATATTAAAATACAATTAATACATGTAACATGACCATAAATAATTAACATATTTATGGTAATCCGAACCTAATTATTTTGGAATTAAATTAAAATTTAACCAAGCCTAGTAACAAAACATGTAATTTTGCCACATAGGATTCCGAAGCACCAGAAGTAGCCACGTAGGCTCAGCGCATTCTGTATTAATATATAGGGGGGATTTTATTTTTATGGAAAATAAATTTATATCATACCATTACCTTTTTTTTTATTATATTCTAATAAAATGATTTATAGTAGTTCTCCACCTGTGTGTGTAAAAACTAAACGGGAAATTTTTAAGTTTCCTACATGAAATTGAAAATATTACAATTATACCTTTCATAAACAAATAATTGTAACAATATCTAAATAAAGAACATTTACTGCATATTAACCTAAAAGTCAGTTACATTTAAGGGTGGACCTCCCATATTTTCCGCACGATTTGGGGAACCTGCCTAAAAAAACGTACCTAATGTATATGGAATGAAAATCAGAGAATAATAAACGATTTTACGTACCCAATTTTCCGCACTATTTTCTGAGGTATATGTGCAGTATATTTTTGGTATTTGTTCATAAAAATAAATTATGTAGTTTTTAATATTTTTGGTTTATGTTCAGCAATTTAGTTTTATGTGTGCAGTACAAGTATATTTTTGGTTTATGTTCAGTATATTTTATCTTTATGTTTAGTTTATTTGGGGTTTATGTTCAACAATATAATGTTTGATTTTTGTGCAGTATGTATATTTCACTAATCACTCAAGGTTTTGGAGTATATTTCACGTCACAGAGAATGTATATGTGCAGTATATTTTGGTATTTGTTCATAGAAATAAATTGCGTAGTTTTAATATGTTTGGTTTATATTTAACAATTTATTTTTATATGTGCAGTATAAGTATATTTTTTTGTTTATGTTCAATATATTTTATCTTTATGTTCAACAATATATCGTTTGGTTTAAGATAGAAATGACTAAAACAAATATACCAGACGTAACATAAAAAAACTACAACAAAAAGGTATTGTATATACCAAGCATATAACAGAAATAAACCATTGGATAATAAAAAAACGACAACAAAAAGGTATTGCATATACCAGACGTAACATAAAAAAACGACAATAAAAGGTATCGCATATACCACACATATACTGTACATATACTCCAATCTCATTTCTTACTCAACGACCAATAAACAAGATCAAATTAAAATAATATTGACAAAATCAATTGAATTGAAAACAACAATACACAAAGCTCTAAATTCGAATAGGCTATAAACAAATTAATATAAAAAACAAATCCCCAAAGCTGTCATACAACGCAATCAAAACGAAAAAAATATACCCTAAAACTTAATATAGAAAATCAAATCCCCAAAGCTATCACACAACGTGATCAAAACGAAAAAAAACATACCCTAAAAAAAATATACCCTAAAAATTTTTCACGAACTCGTCGACGTCGTCTTCTTCATCATTGGGCGCCGGTTTCCTTTCATCCTCGGTTTGGTCCGCATCTTGCATACAAAATTCAGAACATGATTGCCCATAAAAAATGCCTGATTGCTTTCCTGTCTTGATTATGGCAGCATGGTTCCAATTTCTCAAAGAGAGTTGTGTATACAACTTTGCTAATTTGTGTAAATAAATAGAGAAAAAAAAATAACTAAAAAGCAGTGGGTTGTCGGTTTTTGATCGATCATTAAAAAACAGAGAAAAAATTTAACTGTAGGGGAAAAGAAAATATAACCGTAAAGTTGTTGAAGAAGAAGAGAGGGAGAGGGAGAGGGAGAGGGAGACGGAGATGGTGAGACGAAGAGAGGGGAGATAGAGAAAGTGTCCTTCGTATTTAGGTAAGTACATATTTAATTTCAATTAAAAATCTCATTAGTATTTAATATGGCAGAAAAAAAAGGTATAACGGTTACATCTTATAGTGAAGTATAATTGGAATATTTGTAGCTTGTTTAGGTAATTTTATAAATAAAAATATAAGGCATACATAAATGTAATAAAAATCACAACTTAAAGTAAGAGGTGTAAATTCCTCAAACTAAAAATAGGTCTGTTGCTTAGGCCCATGAACGATCCTTCGCCGCTCGAAAAATTGACGCCCCTTGACTGTATAATTAAACATTTTGCAAAACAGCCTTTGTTCACTATTTAAACTGTATTACTCCTTTTTCTTTTCATATTAACCCCTTTTTCAAATTTTTAATAAATAAAATTTTGGTAACCATTTATTTTTATTGGTTGGTTTTATTATTTTTTTTATTTGTAAGTTATTAAAGGGCACGTCTTTTTTGTGTCAGTTTTTACACAACTGCTTTCTTCACTTTATTTCCTATCAATTTATTGTTCTCTTTTCAAAGTTTTCGTCTCGATTTTTTTTT